TGTCTGCAGGAAACTGGAGAACCAGCTGGTATGAAGAAAAAAACCACCCATATATTTAGTGTCAGAAGTGTTAGGAGTAGAAAATGGTTCAGAACCTGTGAGCCTGTCAATGAAACAGGCTTATCCCCCAACACAGAGAACTGACAATTAGCAATCTGCTGTAAGTGAAAGCTCAGACTGTCCCCCTTCAGCGTCATAAACCATTAAGCCTCAATACATACTCCAAAGGCCATGATTAGATTTCATACAATTGAGGCCATTAAATGTTTACTGAGCCCCCATTGCCCATAACACACACTTGAGGGACAGGATAATCTAACACATGGCCTCCACCTTCGATGAACTTTCTGGGGGCACCTGGGTGGCTCAGTCAGTAAGTGGCCAACTCTTGATTTCAGGTCAATGATCTCACAGTAGTTAAGATCTAGCTCCTCGTTGGGGTCTGCACTAGGTGTGGGGCCTGCTTGGGATTCTCTCTCCCTCTCCTGTCCCGTCCCCATTCACGCTCACATACCTGCACACTCTAAATAAACAAACAAATTTTTTAAAACCTGTCTTTCTGAAACAGAAAAATTTCTGTCTGGTAAGGAGACAAGACTAGCACACTTGAGATATAAGGGATTGGGGGCGCCTGGGGGGCTCAGCTGGTTGAGTGTCCAACTCCAGCTGAGGTCATGATCTCATGGCTGGTGTGTGGGTTCAAGCCCTGCGTCGGGCTCTGTGTTGCCGGCTCGGGGCGTGGAGCCTGTTTCAGATTCTGTGTCTCTGTCTCTCTCTGCCCTTCCCTGCTATCTCTCTCTCAAAAATAAATAAACATTAAAAAAAATTTTTTAAAGAATTATATGGGATATTAAGCAGCCAGCATATGCAAAGGAACTATTTGAAGAAAAAAGGGAGGTGGGGGGAGAGTAAAGCGGTTGCGGACAGCCAAGCAAGTATCATGGAGGAGGGGCTGGACCTGGGCTCAGAGGAAGGATCCACTCCAGGGGCCCCAGTGGATGGTGGCACCTCGCCCACAGGACATCAGTACCTGCTTGGCATGGACCAGTGGTGACAGGCAGAGCCAGCCGGACTTTCGCTGTCAGCATGGTCTCCTGATTAGTTTAGAGGCAGGGTTGAGTAACACCAAGGAGATGCTGCTCAGGTGATAGGTCTGGTATGGAACCAACAGAAGATGAAATTGGAGACCTTTAGTGAAATGATAAGCAGAGAACACTGCTCGTTCACTCACTCACTCAATATTGATTGAGCCTTTGCAATTCGCCAGGCACTGTTAGGCACCGGAGATCCAGGCGAACAAGAGAAAAGAGGGGGCGCCTGGGTGGCTCAGTCGGTTAAGTGTCCGATTTCGGCTCAGGTCATTATCTTGCGGTTTGTGGGTTCAAGCCCCACGTCGGGCTCTGTGATGACAACTAGCTCAGAGCCTGGAGCCTGTCTTCAGATTCTGTATCTCCCTCCCTCTCTGACCCTCGCCTGCTCACACTGTGTGTCTCTCTCTCAGAAATAAACAAAACATTTAAAAAGATTTTTAAATTTAAAAAAAAAAAAAGAGAGGAGAGGTCCCTGCCTGCATGAAACTGACTATTTCCTTCTAGTCAGGAGGAGATCAAGGGCACAAATGAGATCATTCCAGACCCAGCCCTTCAGATAAATAAGCACTGACTGTCTTCTTGCCTCAGACTTCCTCCTGACAGGGCTCCTTTTGAGTCACCCAACAGAGAATAAAGTTATAGAAGTCACATCCCTCCATCCCTGGTCCAGAGCCCCAGGAGAAAAGACACATCTCTTACCAATTTCATGTAAGTCCTCCTTCTCACCTGTTCCTCAAACAACACACACACACACACACACACACACACACACACGCACACACGCACACACGCACACACGCACTCACTCACCCTGTTACTCTCCTCTTGAATTCTTTGAGAGAGAGAGAGAGAGAGAGACAGAGACTCCGAGGCAGGCTCCATGCTGACAGAGCCAGAAATGGGCCTGATCTTACGGATTCGTGAGATCATGACCTGAGCTGACATCACATCAAGAGTCAAATGCTTAACTGTCTGAGCCACCCAGGCGCCCCTCCCTTCTTGAATTCTTATCGGGACATGGAGGAATCTGAACTATTTGCAGAGGAAGACAACCAGAAGCCCTTCAGGCCCTGAGTTTCTCCTCCCCCTGAACTGAGAGAAAGGTTTCTTCCCAAGCAAAAGTGGTCTCTCTTTAGATCTGAGCAGTGGGTCCTGCTCAAATGTCAGAGATCTGTTCTCGCAAAATGTGGGTTCCCTTCACTGCTGTCTAGAACGTAATCACAAACTCAGCTCTTGAAGAGAACTGATCCTTCCATTTCCCAGATTGCTGAAGGAGAGCCAGGCCTCCCTGTTCTGCAGCCCCAGAGCATTTGGTCAAGGCCCGAACTGGCCCGAGGAGCGGGGGTACAGCACGTGCAGATCCCCAGGCTCCTGACCTTGTGCTGTACTCAGAGCAGACCCTTCTCCTGACCACCTGCAGCTTCACCATTTCCACAAGGGACACCAGTCAAGGGAACCATGTGGCCTTTCCCCCAGATGTCACCCCCACACAAAGGCACTCAGGCTCAGAGCCCTGAGACCCACGGCCCATCTTCCTCTGTCCCCAAGGTCTCGGGCAGAACCCATTTCCACTGTCAAATAGGGTTTGCCACTTTGGGCTCCTCGTTTTTGCCCATTCCTGACCAGGGCCATGCCCACAGGCCTATGAGCAATGATCCAGCCCACCCTTTCCCTGGATTCTTGTCTCCAAGGACTGTTCCCAGAATCCCTCTGCCTTCTTCTTTCCTAAGCAGCAAGTTCGAAAGGGAAGAGAAACAATGACCACAGTGTGTACACACCCCCACCCAGGACAGTGTGCCTGTGACTGCTGAGAGGTGGGCCTCTTACCGAGACAGCTGGTCTGCAGAGCCCCAGGGAGCCCACGGCATTCCTGGTACTGGAGTACCCGAATCTGGGCCCGCTGCCCGCGGCCTGTTTATAATTGACGTTCTAGGTTAAGCCTCTGTCAATAACTTTCTAGAACTATCCCCTCCCTACAGCTCAGAGGAGAGAGCCAATCTCTGGCTCAGGAGTAGACCTTGAACAGCTTGTCTGAGGGAAGGGGAAAAAAACAAAACCAGGTCAGGGGTGAGTTGGAAGAGGGCAGTCAAAACCACTGCCTACAGATTACCAGAAGGATTAAAGGGCAGTGGTGTTTAGCTTTTACAAAGAAAGAGGGCCAGGGACAGGAGAGTGAGCCAGATGAGAGAGCTTCTGGCCTAAGAAAAAGAACAGAACAGGGCACCTGGATGGCTCAATCGGTTAAGTGTCTGACTTCGGCTCTGTTCATGATCTCATGGTTCATGGTTTGAGCCCCGCGTTGGGCTCTCTGCTGTCTGTGGTACAGAGCGCGCTTTGGCCTCTGTCCCCTTCTCTCTGCCTCTCCCCACCCATGTTCTATCGCTCTCAAAAATAAATAAACATTAAAAAAAAAAAAAAGGAAGGAAGGAAAGGAGCAGAGGATCTGACCAGAGAAGAAAAAATGCGGAGTTTGAGGTCTTCCTCCTGGAGAGAGCTCACTAAGCCTCAGGTTGCCCCCCTCCCTGCGCCCCGATATCTGGAGATACCCTGGTCCTTTCTCCACTGGGGCCAGGAGACAGGATTCCTCACAAGGGTACATGTTACCTACTGGCTCTTATGGGCCCTGGCCTGGTCTGACTTCATTAACAAGGTTTTTAAATGCTTGAACATACTATTAAACCCACTTGGATCGATGCATTTAGCACAGCGTTATCCCAACGACCTTTCCAGTCCGGAGCAGGGATAGTGTTCCTCCCCTGGATGCCACCACAGTATCACCACAACAAAAACCAGCCCAGGCTGAGCTCAGACAAGAGTTCTTAGAGGAAGCACGGTCAGGAAGGCAGTTCTCTAGCTCTGCTTAGCTTCCTGAACCCGAGGTGAGTAGGTCAGAGAGGCCTTCCTGCTTCTGAGTTCCCGCTCTCCGACAGGGCCAGGGGCATCCAGACGAGGAGGAGTAATGAAATGCGGGTGCGCCTGCTCTGGGCAGGGGTCCTATGGCAGGTGGGAGTCTGAATGTCAGGGGTCTCTGGGAGACTCATGAGTTAAATGCAAACTCAGCGTGGGACGGGACCTGCTCACCCTTCTGGGACCCAGGACCCCACCCTGCACAGGTTCCCTGTTCCCACCTTGTGCCCATCTTTCCCCGGAGCCCACAACAGGCAGCTTTCTGCCTCCAAGGAAGGGTGCTGACCACTAATAAACCCTGACAAAGGCAGACAGCTGCAGATCCCGGAAGAGGAGGCCAGTGACACTCTGGAGGGGCTCTGCGCAGGGAGAGCAGGGGTGAAGGGCTGGCTGGAATGCCAAGGCGAGAAACCAGCAGGGGCTCCCTGCGTACAGTGCTCCGGCTTCTGAGTGGAGACGGGCCTTACCCACCCCCCCACATCAGGACAGACACCCGGTGCTGCTTCCCCAGCTGAAGGCAGAGCGGTGCCACGGACTCCCACACCCACCTTGACACTGGCCGTCTGGCTGATGAACTGCTGAGTGGATTAGCCAGAGGCAACAGGTGGCATTGGGCTGGCACACAGGCCTCGGCCTCATCCAGGGGCGGGGCCAGGAGCGAGACTGGTCTGAAGAACATTTCTAGAGCATGAGGTCTTAGTCCAGCGCTTCACACACCTTACCTCAATCTCCCTAGAGCCCGGAGAAGACAGGACAGGGACAATTATCCCCACTGACAGGGGAAGTGAGACCCTCTTGACACAACTGCAGAAAGGGGTCCGAGAAGGACTGGACAGTCCAAGGCTATTTAGGAAAAGGCACAGACTCTGGACCAGCACCCCTGGGCAGGAAGTGACCAAAATCAGGAAAGATGAGAATCCCATCACCAATGCCCTGCACGTGCTGGCAACACGGGTCACAGAGACGGGGGACCCTTGCTGCTCACAATGACAACCAGGCACAAGAGAAGGGGGCTTCGTGGTGAGATGGACCTGGGCTTGGATCTCAGCTCTGCTGTGTGACCCTGGGTGAGTCCCTTAACCTCCAAGTCTCAATTCTGTCATTTGTAAAACGGGCACCAACAGCACCTAGCTTGCAGGGCTGTTTGCAAGAGCTCAACGGATCGGATTATAAACAGCCAGTTTCTACTTCCAACTGTTCCCAATTTTTCTCATAAAAGTAGAACCTTCTTCATGAGAGGGGTGGGCAGACAGGAAGGAGAAACATATCCTAACATACTACTGTCTCTCCAGCTTCTGTTAATCCTCCAGCTTCGAAGAACTCAAGGAAAGAAGGACGAAGGGAAGGAGATCAGCAGCTGAATAGGCTCCATTAGACGGCTGGGTAAGTACCCACCTCTCCCTGTAATCATCTCCTGGACGCCCGCTGGCATCACCAAGGTGCCATGAAATCTGTCCCTTTCTCCCCATAGCACTGGGGCTGGGACAAGATCAAGGAAGCAAGGCGTCTAGCTCTGAGCGGGAACAGCAGCAGAGTCCTGTGTTCCGAGAGGAGCTGAGAAGACCTGGGCCGATCGACGGTCGGTCAGAGGGGACCGGGGGAAAACTTCCAGGGGCATCGATGCCACTCCCCCCGGCACACTTCTCCAGCTGCCTCTGCTCGTGCTTTGTTTCTAGCACATGGAGAGGAGGCTGAACACGAACCCTCGGAGCAGGTGCTTCTGCTCCTCCAGATTAGAAGCCGCTTTGAGATTCGGCGCATGTCTTACTCAGCTCTGCCTGCGGTGAGCATCTCACAGGACCAAAAATAACACCACCGGTGGCGGCGTGTTTTCTGTTTAGCCCAGCGCGGCCTGCCTAGCTGTCTCTATCAGCAGTGGGGACACAGAGGGACTGACGGACTGACAAACGCCTCAAAGCATTCGGGACCAGGGAAGACACCAGACGTGTAAAGAAGTGAAACGAATTGCTCAGCACGGCTGACTATAGTAAACTGTAGTGTATATTTGAAAGCCACGAAGGGAATGGATCTTAAAAGTCCTCAGCACAAGAAAAACAAATGTGTCACTCTGCGAGGTGATGGATATTAACTAGACTGACTGTGGTCATTTCACAACACATACAAATACCGAATCATTACCCTGGACCCTTGATAGTAGTATGTCAACTATCCCTCAATAAAGAAAAGTGAAATATGGCAGGTGCTATCATATAGATATAAATAGGGAGGGTGAGGGCCTAAGAAGGAGGTGTCAGCTCTAAGCTAGTGGTAGGTGAAGGGGGGAGGGAGTGCCCAGAAGGGCATCACAGAAGGTAGCCTGAAAGATGAGGAGAGGGACAGGTGGTCTGGAGGGAGAGGAGGAAAGGCAGGCATCCAGGAAGAGGGAGCAATGTGACAGGGACACCACCTGGCTCTGCGTGTTCACAAGCCATGCACAGCCTGGCGTGGCTGGGGCAGCAGGTGCCAGAACAAGGCCGGGGAGGAAGACAAGTTCACTGCATCACAGGGAAGCGTGATCGTCTGTGCCACGGCTTTCAATCTAAGCAGAACCTCCAGCATCAAAAACTGCAGCAATTAACTTTCTGTACGGTTGTAAAACATTGCCAAGGCCACCAACTACTAAGATTTCATAGTCTGGGGGTTTGTTTTTGTTTTTTCTTATTTTAGAAGAACAGAAGTGGGGGGTAAGCAGTCAGGGTCTGGCTCAGTTAAACCAACGGCAAAGATCTTCACGGCTGTTCTGGCTCGTGGATCACCCAGATGTGGAAACAACAGTGCAGACAAGACGGGACGACAAGTGTCTGTGCTCTGCTCTGGGGGGTGCAGATGTGGCCGACAAGAGGCAGACCCTGCATCTGTCCCATGCCCACACCATGGGGCAGCAGGACTCCTCTAATGGCCTTGGTCCCCCATTCTTTGGTATCGCCCCAAATCCAGCCCCAGAGACACTGAGGTTCTATCACTTCTCTGGAGCAAAGCAGGAAGGCAGAGTGTCTTTCCTGCATTCAAAAGCTTGTAAGGAATGCCCACTGGGTAATGGAAATGATGCTGGGTGCTCTGGAGAAACAAAGAGGGAGAACGTCACCCCCAGAAAGCAGCAGCAAGCCACTCATTTTGAGAGCAGCTCAGGCCAATGAGCAAATGCTTCTGGACTGATCCAGTTCGAGCCTGGTGTTAATGAACCTCACAATTTCTAAGAAAGCCCCCCATTCCCTCAGCCTCCCCAGAACCCCCCTCTTCCAGTACCACAGCCAGAGCTCTGGGAACAGTGTTGAACATACAACTCGCTCTTCGATTTGGGAGTTTACATGACCCTTTGAACTTTCGTCTCCTGGTCTACAAAATGCAGAGCGATCTGAGTCATCTTGTAGAGTTTCTCTGAGTACTTAATTAGGTCGCGTATTGTGGAAATACCTAGGAGAGTCTGGCACCTTAGAGCTGCCCAGAAAAGTAACCCCAACGGTCAGCCCTTGTGGTATCAGCCTTAATCCTCTCTTCCCCTCATGCCCAATATAATAATATATGCTCAGTATATATATATATAATATATAAGCTCAATATAAAAGGCAGAAACACAAACACAAGTGGAGAGTGTCCGTGCCATGCAGGATGACGCCTGGAGAGGGACCTGGGCTGTGTATCAGAAAAACCCTGGTCCTACGTCTGCTACCACTGATCGGTGCTGTGCTGAGAGGCAAGTCACCATGCACTCTGGGCTGCAGTTTCTTCGACTCCTAGGCCGGGAACAGTGAGACCGTGCCTTCTTCACAAGGGCAGTGTGAACAAAAAAGAAACAAGAACATCTCTCCTGCAGTGCACTGTGCCACCAGAGCACCAGGCCCTGGTTGAAGAGAGAGTCGGCGGGAGGGTGAAATAACAAAGTCAATATAGAGTAAGACAGGCATCAAAAAGAACAAAACAGGAGCAAATTTAGCAAAAGAGGTGCAAGACTGGTACACTGAAAAACTGTGAAGACCTTAACAAAAACACCTCACATTCATGGATCAGAGACTTAACACTGCTAAGGTGGACTCTCCCCAAACTGACTCAATGCAAGCCCTCCCAAACCCTGCAGCTCACTTTAGTTGCAGAAATCGACAAGGCAATCCTAAAATTCATGCAGGAACACAAAGGAAGCAGAACAGCCAAAAGAATCTTGAAGAACACGGAGGATTCATACTTGTCAATCCCAAAACTTACTACGAAGCAACAGTAAATAAGACAGTGCGGGACCAGGATAGGGAACGACACACAGATGAATGGAACAGATTGGAGAGCCTGTGAGACCCTCATATTTAGTCAACTGATCTTCAGCAGGGTGCAAACACAACTCAACAAATGGCGCTGTAACAGTGGGTATCCACAAACAAAAGAATCAAGTCGGACCCCTACCTCACACCATTTATATAAACTCACACAAAATGGATCAGACTCAAATGTAAGGGCTAAAACTACAAAACTCTCAGAGTAAAATATAAATCTCTCTGGCCTTGGTTTCTTAGCTGTAACAGAATAAGTACAAGCAACCAAACAAAACAGATAAACTGGCTCCATCAAAATAAACTTTTGTGCTCCCAAGACACTGAGAAAGACAAAAGACAACCCCACGGAATGGGAGAAAATTTTTACAGATCATACAATCTTATAAGCATCTGCTATCCAGAATATACATTTTTTAAAAAATTTACAACTCAACTACAAAAACACAAACAACTTCACTAAAAATGGGCAGAAGATTTGAACAGACGTTTTTCCAAAGACAACATACAAATGACCAACAAGAACATGAAAAGATGCTCAACATCAGTAGTCACTAGGGAAATGCAAACCAAAACCACAAGGAGATACTACTTCATACCCACTAGGGTGGCAATATCAGCAAGACAAACAATAACAAGTATTGGTGATGAGACAGAGAAATCATGACCCTCATACACTGGTGGTGGGAATATAAAACGGTGCAGCCCACCTTGGAAAACTATGGAGTTCCTCAAATGGTTAAATAGAGCTACCGTTATGACCCAGCTCCTACATAGATACACAGGAAAAACAAAAAGGCATATCTACACAAAACATATATACAAATACTCACAACAGCATTGTTCATAATAACCAAAGAGTGGAAACAACCCAAATGTCCAACCGGTGAATGGATAAACAAAATGTGGTATATCCATCCTTACAATGGAGTATTATTTAGCCAAAGAAAATATGAAGTGCTATTACTTGTGACAAAGTGAGTGAATCTTGAAAACATCCAAATTTTTAAAAGCCAGAGACAAAAGGCCACATATCATATCATTCCATTTATATGAAATGTCTAGAATAGGCAACCCCCGAGAGACAGAAGGTAGATTAGACCCCAGTGGGGGCTGGGGGTCATAGGATGACTTCTGATGGGCGCAGGTGTCCTTCTGGTGTGACGAGTATGTCCTGGAATAGTGTTGTTGGTTATGCAATACTCAATATACTAAAACCATTGAAGCATATGCTTTAAAGGGGTGAATTTTATAGTATGTGAACTGTATCTCAAGTAAAGCTATTATAAAAATAAAATTTTAAAAGCAATGCATGTTAAGCCTTAAGAAGTTAAAATCCTTAGACAAATAATCAGAAGTCTATATGCTCCTTGACCTCAGGAAGGAGAGGAGAGCTTTTTGTAACAAGCAAACTCAGGGCTGGGTTACTGTGGAATGTGGTACCCTCACATTTATTAATCTGTTTTAAAATACTAATAATAAATCCATTACAGGGGCGCCTGGGTGGCTCACTTGGTTAGGTGTCCGACTTCAGCTCAGGTCTTGATCTCACAGTTTGTGGGTTCAAGCCCTACATCAGGCTCTGTGCTGACAGAGCCTGGAGCCTGTCTTCAGATTCTGTAACTCCCTCTCTCTCTGACCCTCCCCTGCTCACACTGTCTTGCTGTCTCTCTCTGTCTCTCTCTCTCATTCAAAAAATAAATAAAACATTAAAAATAAATAAATAAATCCATTACAGGTTAACAAATATTCTTAATACAACTATATTTTTAAAAACACGGAGTGGTATTGTTTTACATCTTTGCAAATTTCATTAATGTCTGGCTTAATCGAAGATACTGGATCTTCAGGGCACCTGGGTGGCTCAGTCAGTTGAGCATCTGACTCTTGCTTTCAGCTCACGATCCCAGTGTCTGGGATCGAGCCCCACATGGGGCTCCACACTGAGTGGGGAGCCGGCCTGAGATTCTCTCTCCCCCACCTACATGTGCATGCTCTCTCTTCTTCTCTCAAAAATTCTTAAATAAAAATTAAAAAAGAAGATTCTCCTATCTGTGCTTCTACATTCAACCAGTTGTAATAAGCGGTGCTTATGAAGAAAATCTGGACAACTTGCCCAGGCATGTGTTTAGCAAAAGGGAGAAATATTTTAATAGCCTTTTCAGACCATCATGGATACTCGTGTTTGATTCTACACCAAAACTTGACCAACAGCAGTGAATGATAACATGAAACAGAAAACCCTATGAACTTTAATGTACTCTGGTAGGTTGAAATCCACTGGCCTATCTTCAAATATAAATGGGCCTTTTACCCAACACGATTTTGTTACACACTGGTCATTTGGAAAAGACTGGCTCACGGACTTAGGATCATCTTCAAGATGTGGACACATTTTATAATAAAATACCAAGACATCACATGTGTAATATTACCACCAATATCTTCAGAAAAGTCTAAGTACTGAAAAAAGCTGCCAAGCTCAGGATGTTGGATATAAGTTTTTCAAAATTCCCATCGTGGCTCGACAGCTCTAATGCTACCATTGGTAATACACACTATTAAGACAAAATGTTTAATGTTTTATTTCTTGCTGAGAGAGAGAGAGCATGAGCATGGGAGGGTCAGAGAGAGGGAGACACAAAATCTGAAACAGGCTCCAGGCCCTGAGCTGTCAGCACAGACCCCAACGCGGGGCTCGAACCCACGAACCATGAGATCTTGACCTGAGCCGAAGTCGGACACTTAACCAACTGAGCCACCCAGGCGCCCTGGTAATACATGCTATTAGTTGTCTTCTCTGAAGCAACAGCCTCACTACATCCATCTTTCAAGAAAAAGTCTGTCAAACACCCAAGTCTGAATAACCACAACTGCCAGTTGTGCTTTCAAGTAGAAAAAGAATTCCCTCAAAAAAGTGGC